CATTCCTCGATTGACTTTGCGCACATATATGTATTGTTGTTGTTTTTTTTCATTTGGGACCGTATTCCTTTTCTTTTATCGGTCATATCGGCTGGCGAACAGGGTCTCTATCGCTCGCTCGATCTCGCTCCTCCACCTCCATTCTCTCCCCTCCCACCACTGAGGAGGGAAGAAAAAGAAATGATCTGGAAAGAGTGTGGTTCCCCCGTCGAGGTGAGGGCTGTGCGATCTGAATCAACTGCCACCTGCGCATGCGCTGACAGGAACCTCCCTCTCGACAGCACGCGGCGCGATCTTATCGCGTCACTTTTTAGTTTCTCTTCTTTGGGAGGGTCGCTTCGTCCACTGTGTGCACGACCCGGCTTCGGCGAACCTGCCGGAAACGGCGACAGTTCCGTAGCGTGTGATCATCGGTCCCCTCTTGACGCGAGAGAAAAAAATAATCTAAATCCCAAGACGAGTTAGTGCACCAACTGCTCCTCGGTTTCTCGTTTTACAGCTGCTAAGCATGCCTGTCAGTGCTGTCAACGCACGCGGCTTATGTCACTATGGAGGCAGAGTTTCAGTCTTTCAATGAGTGTATACGCTGCCGCACCTGCGACTGACGATGACTGCACATGTTCTCATTAGGCGTGAGAAATGTAAATACCAACCCTATCAAAGTAGTTCGCATGTTCAGCAGAGTGTTCCTCGTGCTACTAAACGTACTCGTATTAAAAAAACCCAATGCCCTAAAGGGCTAACTAACGTTGGTTTCCTTACCAATCGGAGCCTTAATGCAGCTCCAATGAGAGCTATCGCACATAGTTGCGCATATAAACATTTTCGCTGTTTACAAACAGAGGGGCTCAACGGCTTCCGGTTTTTTGCGCCATCGTCGCCTAGAAGCATTGGCGAGGAACGAATGCTTTAGTGAGTAGGCCGCTCATTTTGAACATTTTTCTCCCCTTTGTCTGGTGTAGCGTCGTCGGGGTAGATTGGGTGGGATGACCAAGATCAGGCAGGTCATGAAAGCAGGACGTCCATTTAGGAAACTTGAAAAAAAGGATTTATTTGCATTCAAAGAAAAGTTAACTGGTCATCGTTGTTCCCCCTTCTTCGCCCGCCGTCTCCTCCGTCCTTTTTATCCCTCTCGTTGCCGCCCCTCTCCCTCTATCTCGGTCCATCAGTCCACTTCACGAAAGGCAGGGGCGGCCCGCAGTCAGAGGGGGGGATCAAGGGGGTGAATCGTCCACCCGGAACCCGACTTCCCCTCAGCTCTATGCTCAGTTGTTCCGGGTGGACCCATCCCTCCAAGAAGCAGCGACGAATCTTTCGTTCCCCGAAACCGCCGCCGCATTCCGCAGGGGCCCAGCCGTGGCGCCAGCGCACCGTCCCGCGACACAATGGTCAGCCTCAACAGTCGCTGCGTTCGCGGAACTGAGTGGCGGCGACATCGCGCTCGCCTCGAAGACGTCACTGGCAGCGGGACGCAACAGACTCCTCCGCCGCCGAAAGACTCGACTCGAGGGTGGCCAACTGTCGGGTCACCTGAAGCGTCGAGACGACATGTGCAAACACTCGGCCTCTCTGGGCCTCAGCACTCGCATCACCAATAACCCTGTTCCAGGGATACACAACACAAGCACACACACTCTGGTCGGCGTGCCCGAGCGACACGCCCACCGGACGCCAAGACTGCCATAATTTTACCCCATGATTGCCCTCTCTTTCTTTCTTTTTTTTTTTTTTTGTGGTGGTCAGCCCTTGGAAAAAAATCTAAATGCCGTGACCTCAGCCGCGATAGAAACACATCAATAAAAAAGAAACAGCAACAAGAAAATCAGTGTTCGACTCTAAAATCCACGGCTCAGTCCATCGGCGTTCTTATTCTGGTTCCCCTTTCTATATTTGACCTCGAAGTTATACTCCTGTAGTATGAGGCTCCATCTCAACAGCCTCCCGTTTTATTGGACATTTGCTTCAGCCATGAAAGCGGGCAGTGGTCAGTCTCGACCGTGAATTTTGTGCCTTGAATATAGCATCCTAGTTTTTGAATGGCCCACACAATGGACAAACATTCTTTCTCCGAGGCACTGAAAGCCTCTTCTCGGGGAGTCAGCTTCCGACTGAGATAGAGCACCGGATGCTCTTCACCTCCCTCGTTAAGTTGGGCCAAGACGACACCTAGACCTCGGTTGCTGGCGTCGCATTGGAGAATGAATTCTCGGCTAAAGTCTGGCGCGACAAGCACGGGCCGAGAAGACAAAGCTTTCTTCAAGTTTTGGAAGGCCTCCTCCCTCTCGGTGCTCCAAGTTACCACTTCCGGTTCAGGTTTTCGCAGGCTGTCGGTTAGCGTGCTGGCGAGCTCCGAATAATTTGGAATGTAGTGCTGGTAATAGCCTGTCATTCCTAGAAATGTTCGCACCTCCCTTTTGTTTACGGGTCTTGGGAAGTTGACTATCGCAGCTACTTTGGCTTTCATTGGTTCCCGTTTTCCCTGCCCTATGTCGTGTCCCAAATACGTGACACGGGCTTGGCCGAACTGACACTTCTCGGCTTTAATAGTCAGGCCCGCCCCTTTGATTCTTTCAAGCACCGTTCGTGTGTGCTGCAAATGAGACTCCCAATCATTAGAAAATACGGCCACGTCGTCTAGATATGGCACCGCAAATTCTTCTAGTCCTTCTAGCACCCGATCCATTAACCTTGAAAAACAGAAGGGTGCGTTTTTCAAACCAAAGGCCATGGTGACGGGCTGATAAACGCCAAAGGGTGTTACAAATGCTGCATACCGACTTGCTCGTTCAGTTAAGGGCACCTGCCAATATCCTCTCACTAAATCTAGGGTTGAAATGAAGGTAGCCCGGCTTACCAGCTCCACCCTTTCCTCTATGTTAGGCAACGGGTACACCTGGTCTTTTGTGATCGCATTCAACCTGCGATAATCGACGCATGGCCGTGGTTCTTTCCCCGGCACCTCGACCAACATCAAAGGGGAGCAATAGTCACTATATGCTTCTTTGATCACGCCAAGGCGAAGCATCCTTTTAACTTCCGCCTTCATTAAGTCCAGCTGTCGCGGAGACACGCGGTACGCCTTCGAGCTAAAAGGGACCTCTGTAGTCAGCTCGATATCATGTTGTACCAAATGAGTCCTTCCGAGCCTTTCCCCAAAACATTCCAGATATTCCTGAATAAGGCTCTTCAGATCCTCGACTTTAGCTGTACCCAACTCGTCTTTGTTAACTGCACACGCGATTATCTCTTCTACACTAGGGCCCGTGTTCCCAGGAAAACAAGGTACCTCTAGAGAAACCTCTTCTGAAACATTCATGGCGATGCTAACAATTGCTGCTCGCTCTAAAAATGGCTTCATTAGGTTTACGTGGTAGACCCTGTCCTCGCGTTTTCTTCCAGGTAATCTCACGGTGTAGTTTACTTCCGAAAGGCGACTGATAACCTCGGCAGGTCCATCCCAGTGGACTTCCAGTTTATTCTGGCGATTAGGCCTCATATCATCACTTTGTCGCCCGGGTTGAATGATCGCGTCCTGGCATTTCTATCATAGTAGCGCTTTGAAGCGTCTCGCCTCGCCTCTAGGTTGCCCTTCACGATCTCACGACACTTATGTAACCTTTGCATTAGGTTCAACACATACTCGATCACACATTTAGGCCCCCGATCATCCTCCCACAGCTCGCGGACTAGCCTCAGCGGACCTCGAAGATTCCGGCCATACACCAGCTCTGCCGGTGCGAACCCGGTTCCCTCGTGTGGCACTGTGCGCAACGCAAATAGCGTGCCCGGTAAACAACCATCCCAATCACACTTCCTTTCATGGCAAACAGCTCTCAATACTTTTTTTAGGGTAGCATGCCATCTCTCCACACTGTTGCTTTGTGGGTGGTAAACCGAGCTATGCAAAATTTTAACGCCACATTTCTCGAGAAACATGGTCGTGAGAGCACTCGTGAAAACGGTTCCCTGATCCGATTGCATTTCGGCAGGGAAACCGAGGCGCGAAAATATAGAAAGCAACGCATCGACTACCTCGACCGAAGTTGCCTCCTGTAAGGGCACCGCCTCGGGGAACTTCGTTGCAGGACACAATAGTGTGAGAATGTATCTGTTCCCCGCACTTGTTTTCGGCAACGGCCCCACCAAATCTACAACAACTCTGCGGAGGGCTCAGAAATAATGGGCACTTTTACCATCGGGGCCTTCCATTTGTCGTTAGACCTACCGGCTCTCTGGCAAGCGTCACAAGTCTTCACGAAATTCTGCACGTCCCTGAAACAACCCCGGCCAATAAAATTCCTGTAGCAATCTTTTCTTGGTTTTATTTATGCCCAGGTGTCCTGCCCATGAGTGATCGTGACAAAGACTGAGTAGGTCCTTGCGGTATGGTGATGGCACCACCAATTGATCGTAGCACGGCCCTCGCCTATCTCGGTATTTACGATATAGGATACCGTTCCTCACTTCGAAAGAGATGTTCTTGACGAAACACCTTCACTGTTTCCGTTGTCATAACCGCTATACTAGGGTCCGTTTTCTGAGACAGCCGTAACGCTTCCCTGTCAACCCCTAGCATGCGCTCGTAGCTGTGCGAGATTGGGGCCAACACGGACCCTGCAAACTATGATCTTTTCCTTTCGAAGGTTTCTTTCTTTTCTCATTATCGGCTTCTTATCTGACCAGTTTCCGGATTTCGGTCGGAGGATAGGGATAAGTGCCTCGTCGGGCTTAACTTCTGCGGATTCAGTTGTTAACTCTTTCGCTTGGCACCTTCCCCTTCCCCGTAACGCAGCTGCTGAGCCAATACGCGTGCTTTCGATCTCGTCAAAGCCATGACCTGGGCATCAGCAAAAGTGCACTCCCCTGTCGTTGAGTAGTGACTCCGAGCTGTTCGAGAAAGTTACGGGTAGCCCTCTGGTAGCCCACGGGAGACTGCTGCTACTGTCTCGATCGCTCCAAAAGGGCACCCCGAATGTGTACCTTTGCCATAGTAAACACACTGAATCTTCGCTGACGGCCTGTCTTATCCACGCGCATTCGGATAAGTAGTCTTCACTTTTTACGTAGTTCGGATGGACTACGTCCATAGTGGCCGCGGAGTCTCTGAGTACCCTACACCTTTTGTCATTAACCATTAAATTTTTCTTAATGCAAATGTCACTCGCGCGCGCGCGCGCGCCTAGCCGAACCGCGCTGAAAAAAAACCATGTAGAGACTGGTCCCGCAGTCTGATGTACGTGTATTTTAAATATCTTTATTTTCGACGTAGTTAGCGACCATGATTTATCAAAAGGGCCCCCGCAACATTTTTTAGCGTGTTTGAAAAACACTTCCAATCGGGTAGTCGCTGCTCATGAGAACACGTGAGCCAAACATTGCACCGCACCACGCGGCCTGCAATTTAAAACTCGCAAAGTCAGCTAGGAATCGTTCCCTCTTCTCTCTACCAATGACCACGGCACATGCCCAAATTCACGGGAGAATTGGCTGCTTTGAGCATCGAGAGCTGCTTAGTGACGGCGGCCGCCTCGAGATGCCGCCACTTGCCCACGCTCGCGATCGCACTGAAAGCCGCGCGTCCGAAGAAAGTGAATGCTCAAGGTCGTGACGTGTGCGTGACGTGACTTCTTTCCTCCGTGTCACCCGTCCCTGCTTAGCTTCCATCGCGTTCATGGGGAGGATGGAAAAGAGTACAACAATAGCGCGCGCGACAAATCGCTATAAATTCGCTCGTACTTGACGGACTCTGAGAAAATCAACCTAGCGCCGGTCGATTCGCGAGGCAACGAACCCCTTAACGAAGGCACGCGGTGGTTACTTGGAAAAGCATTGCGGGACCCCTTTAAGGCGAAAGCCTTACATGCCTCAGTGTATGGCGATGTTGCTTTTATAATTCTCGGCTTGTCAAAGTGTATACTACAATGTAAACAAAAGACATCCGCTGCTGTGTTATCCAATACGGGGGCTAAGGACTTCCTAAAGACATCTTTTAATGGCTCTTCTCATTTTATCTTGTGACGTGTGCTGTTATAAACAAAGCAATAAAACCGATCCACAATGAGCCGCACTGTGCTGTTCGACGACGCAGCCGTGGACCCGACTGGTCTCGTCGACGTCGTCGTGCATTACCTAGCCGGTCTTCCCGGAGAAGGGCAGGTTCCCCCGTAAAACACGCCGAGGAGTTGTCGTTTGTGCAGCTATACCTCTGAACTCCACGGAAAATCAAGTCCACACGCCACGCCGCTCTCCAAAGCCGCCCAGGAGATGCTCGGATCGTCGAGTCGTGCAACATCTCGTAGCCGTGGCCATGAAAGTGATCCGGTTCGACATCGTTGACGACACCACCACATTCCGTACCAGCGATGTGGAGAGCACCATGCATCACTTGCCAAAGAGAGTTGTGACGTCGTGAGAGATGCTCTTGACCGAGACATGGCGTTCACGCGTGTAGACTCAAACATGGTCTATTGCTGGCAGGAACGCAAAAAGGACGCGCTCGTAATTACAAGTCAGACGCTCGGCAAGCCGACAACATTTCTATCCAACTCTGTCTGCCTTCGAAGTTCACGGGGACCGCAGCTGCTCGAATGATCAAGTAGCGGCCGTGGGTCGTGGTACAGGGTGGCGCTGCGCAACGCCGGTCCGTGCAGGCGACGTACATCAGCAAGCTTTTCGATGCCATCCTCGACATCTTAGAAGACCGGCGGACCTCACCGTTCAAGCCTTTACCAAGACTTATTAAATACATTGTCGGAATTGAACCCCTAACGCTGGGGCCGCTCGTTTCAGCCTCGCTGGCTAACAATCTGTACAAAGTGCTTGGGTGGTATTTTAAGGGCGAAGCATCTTAAGGTTGAGGCCTGTCCGTCCGTGTCCGTCAAGGGAAGATGCGTGCATGCGAGACACACAAAAAAGCTCTAACGATAGACTGTACCAATCATAATTGTGACAGAACAATTTGAGGCACATAGAAGCACAAACCTTTTATACCAGTCAGTGACTTCAATGTAGACATTATGTACCTTAGGACCCAACTTCGCCTACTCGTCATCATTGCGGCAAGACTTTTGCGTATAGTATGTGAAAAAGACTTCTATGTAGTTGCTTTAGAAGTCCGCGGCATTAGCTTCTCGAATGCACTTGGCCTGCACCAATGGGCGCGCATGCCTGAATGACGTCATTAAGCCGTGGACGTAGCCTTTCGGAAGTTTTAGGTTGTATGCACTGTAAACTGAGAAAAAGTGTTTCTTCGTTAGGTAGTGTTGGGTTAACGTTTTCGTATCGTACCACCAGGTCACTGTTTTAAGTCGCTGCTCCGCTAAGTCACTGGTTACCATGGGTTACGGAATATAGGCGTTCACTCGTGTTGTACGTCATTTTTTTTTAACGAGATTTGTTCGCCGGCGTTACAGGGGAACACTGCGTTGAAGAACAGTGCCGAGTTCCACGCCGCGTTCCGGTGCCGTCGAAGCGCGCCATGAACCCCGCGCACCGCTGCCAGGTGTGGCACACGTCCTGACCACCACCAACTTTCCCCTCATCCGAACCGCCGACGACAGGACGCTGCACAAGGCGGACAAAAATCACGCCGGGATTCGGAGCGAAATCTCAACGAACTTGTTTTTCTGAAAATGGGATCATTGTGTGCCTGGACCTCAACCAAAATGTCGTGCCGACCGCTGTGTTTTGTTATAAATTTTTTTTTTCAGATGGCAGCAACTCACGGGTATCGTTTCTTGATTAGAAGTTCGCAGCGTGTCGCATTTTATCTTCCGTTAAGGCCCGAGATAGGCCGTGCAACTCAGAGGGGCTTGCGCTAATTGTACGCCTCTAGTGGGCACCCAAGAGCGTGAGAACTGGTCCATCACCATCGTGCAGAGTGCTGTAAGTTGGCCGAGATATCCCCAAGGTGGGCCCCAAGGTGGCCGAGATATGCGGAGCCTTCCACCACGGCGTACCTCAATCATAGCGTGGTCTTAAGACTAAAAAGCCCAACAATCGTGAAGTGTGTGATTTTGGCGCAATGTACCTCTTGTAGCGTCGTCGGGGTAGATTGGGTGGGATGACCAAGATCAGGCAGGTCATGAAAGCAGGACGTCCATTTAGGAAACTTGAAAAAAAGGATTTATTTGCATTCAAAGAAAAGTTAACTGGTCATCGTCGTTCCCCCTTCTCGCCCGCCGTCTCCTCCGTCCTTTTTATCCCTCTCGTTGCCGCCCCTCTCCCTCTATCTCGGTCCATCAGTCCACTTCACGAAAGGCAGGGGCGGCCCGCAGTCAGAGGGGGGGATCAAGGGGGTGAATCGTCCACCCGGAACCCGACTTCCCCTCAGCTCTATGCTCAGTTGTTCCAGGTGGACCCATCCCTCCAAGAAGCAGCGACGAATCTTTCGTTCCCCGAAACCGCCGCCGCATTCCGCAGGGCCCAGCCGTGGCGCCAGCGCACCGTCCCGCGACACAATGGTCAGCCTCAACAGTCGCTGCGTTCGCGGAACTGAGTGGCGGCGACATCGCGCTCGCCTCGAAGACGTCACTGGCAGCGGGACGCAACAGACTCCTCCGCCGCCGAAAGACTCGACTCGAGGGTGGCCAACTGTCGGGTCACCTGAAGCGTCGAGACGACATGTGCAAACACTCGGCCTCTCTGGGCCTCAGCACTCGCATCACCAATAACCCTGTTCCAGGGATACACAACACAAGCACACACACTCTGGTCGGCGTGCCCGAGCGACACGCCCACCGGACGCCAAGACTGCCATAATTTTACCCCATGATTGCCCTCTCTTTCTTTCTTTTTTTTTTTTTTTGTGGTGGTCAGCCCTTGGAAAAAAATCTAAATGCCGTGACCTCAGCCGCGATAGAAACACATCAATAAAAAAAGAAACAGCAACAAGAAAATCAGTGTTCGACTCTAAAATCCACGGCTCAGTCCATCGGCGTTCTTATTCTGGTTCCCCTTTCTATATTTGACCTCGAAGTTATACTCCTGTAGTATGAGGCTCCATCTCAACAGCCTCCCGTTTTTATTGGACATTTGCTTCAGCCATGAAAGCGGGCAGTGGTCAGTCTCGACCGTGAATTTTGTGCCTTGAATATAGCATCCTAGTTTTTGAATGGCCCACACAATGGACAAACATTCTTTCTCCGAGGCACTGAAAGCCTCTTCTCGGGGAGTCAGCTTCCGACTGAGATAGAGCACCGGATGCTCTTCACCTCCCTCGTTAAGTTGGGCCAAGACGACACCTAGACCTCGGTTGCTGGCGTCGCATTGGAGAATGAATTCTCGGCTAAAGTCTGGCGCGACAAGCACGGGCCGAGAAGACAAAGCTTTCTTCAAGTTTTGGAAGGCCTCCTCCCTCTCGGTGCTCCAAGTTACCACTTCCGGTTCAGGTTTTCGCAGGCTGTCGGTTAGCGTGCTGGCGAGCTCCGAATAATTTGGAATGTAGTGCTGGTAATAGCCTGTCATTCCTAGAAATGTTCGCACCTCCCTTTTGTTTACGGGTCTTGGGAAGTTGACTATCGCAGCTACTTTGGCTTTCATTGGTTCCCGTTTTCCCTGCCCTATGTCGTGTCCCAAATACGTGACACGGGCTTGGCCGAACTGACACTTCTCGGCTTTAATAGTCAGGCCCGCCCCTTTGATTCTTTCAAGCACCGTTCGTGTGTGCTGCAAATGAGACTCCCAATCATTAGAAAATACGGCCACGTCGTCTAGATATGGCACCGCAAATTCTTCTAGTCCTTCTAGCACCCGATCCATTAACCTTGAAAAACAGAAGGGTGCGTTTTTCAAACCAAAGGCCATGGTGACGGGCTGATAAACGCCAAAGGGTGTTACAAATGCTGCATACCGACTTGCTCGTTCAGTTAAGGGCACCTGCCAATATCCTCTCACTAAATCTAGGGTTGAAATGAAGGTAGCCCGGCTTACCAGCTCCACCCTTTCCTCTATGTTAGGCAACGGGTACACCTGGTCTTTTGTGATCGCATTCAACCTGCGATAATCGACGCATGGCCGTGGTTCTTTCCCCGGCACCTCGACCAACATCAAAGGGGAGCAATAGTCACTATATGCTTCTTTGATCACGCCAAGGCGAAGCATCCTTTTAACTTCCGCCTTCATTAAGTCCAGCTGTCGCGGAGACACGCGGTACGCCTTCGAGCTAAAAGGGACCTCTGTAGTCAGCTCGATATCATGTTGTACCAAATGAGTCCTTCCGAGCCTTTCCCCAAAACATTCCAGATATTCCTGAATAAGGCTCTTCAGATCCTCGACTTTAGCTGTACCCAACTCGTCTTTGTTAACTGCACACGCGATTATCTCTTCTACACTAGGGCCCGTGTTCCCAGGAAAACAAGGTACCTCTAGAGAAACCTCTTCTGAAACATTCATGGCGATGCTAACAATTGCTGCTCGCTCTAAAAATGGCTTCATTAGGTTTACGTGGTAGACCCTGTCCTCGCGTTTTCTTCCAGGTAATCTCACGGTGTAGTTTACTTCCGAAAGGCGACTGATAACCTCGGCAGGTCCATCCCAGTGGACTTCCAGTTTATTCTGGCGATTAGGCCTCAATATCATCACTTTGTCGCCCGGGTTGAATGATCGCGTCCTGGCATTTCTATCATAGTAGCGCTTTGAAGCGTCTCGCCTCGCCTCTAGGTTGCCCTTCACGATCTCACGACACTTATGTAACCTTTGCATTAGGTTCAACACATACTCGATCACACATTTAGGCCCCGATCATCCTCCCACAGCTCGCGGACTAGCCTCAGCGGACCTCGAAGATTCCGGCCATACACCAGCTCTGCCGGTGCGAACCCGGTTCCCTCGTGTGGCACTGTGCGCAACGCAAATAGCGTGCCCGGTAAACAACCATCCCAATCACACTTCCTTTCATGGCAAACAGCTCTCAATACTTTTTTTAGGGTAGCATGCCATCTCTCCACACTGTTGCTTTGTGGGTGGTAAACCGAGCTATGCAAAATTTTAACGCCACATTTCTCGAGAAACATGGTCGTGAGAGCACTCGTGAAAACGGTTCCCTGATCCGATTGCATTTCGGCAGGGAAACCGAGGCGCGAAAATATAGAAAGCAACGCATCGACTACCTCGACCGAAGTTGCCTCCTGTAAGGGCACCGCCTCGGGGAACTTCGTTGCAGGACACAATAGTGTGAGAATGTATCTGTTCCCCGCACTTGTTTTCGGCAACGGCCCCACCAAATCTACAACAACTCTGCGGAAGGGCTCAGAAATAATGGGCACTTTTACCATCGGGGCCTTCCATTTGTCGTTAGACCTACCGGCTCTCTGGCAAGCGTCACAAGTCTTCACGAAATTCTGCACGTCCCTGAAACACCCCGGCCAATAAAATTCCTGTAGCAATCTTTTCTTGGTTTTATTTATGCCCAGGTGTCCTGCCCATGAGTGATCGTGACAAAGACTGAGTAGGTCCTTGCGGTATGGTGATGGCACCACCAATTGATCGTAGCACTGCCCTCGCCTATCTCGGTATTTACGATATAGGATACCGTTCCTCACTTCGAAAGAGATGTTTCTTGACGAAACACCTTCACTGTTTCCGTTGTTCATAACCGCTATACTAGGGTCAGTTTTCTGAGACAGCCGTAACGCTTCCCTGTCAACCCCTAGCATGCGCTCGTAGCTGTGCGAGATTGGGGCCAACACGGACCCCTGCAAACTATGATCTTTTCCTTTCGAAGGTTTCTTTCTTTTCTCAATTATCGGCTTCTTAATCTGACCATTTTCCGGATTTTCGGTCGGAGGAATAGGGATAAGTGCCTCGTCGGGCTTAACTTCTGCGGATTCAGTTGTTAACTCTTTCGCTTTGGCACCTTCCCCTTCCCCGTAACGCAGCTGCTGAGCCAATACGCGTGCTTTCGATCTCGTCAAAGCCATGACCTGGGCATCAGCAAAAGTGCACCCCCTGTCGTTGAGTAGTGACTCCGAGCTGTTCGAGAAAAGGTACGGGTAGCCCTCTGGTAGCCCACGGGAGACTGCTGCTACTGTCTCGATCGCTCCAAAAGGACCCCGAATGTGTACCTTTGCCATAGGTAAACACACTGAATCTTCGCTGACGGCCTGTCTTATCCACGCGCATTCGGATAAGTAGTCTTCACTTTTTACGTAGTTCGGATGGACTACGTCCATAGTGGCCGCGGAGTCTCTGAGTACCCTACACCTTTTGTCATTAACCATTAAATCTGTCGTGTAAGGTTTCAAAAGATCTAGGTTACTCGGGTGATCGCTTACGCAAGCAAACACTGGCCTACCTTTTGAGCAGTTTCGGGCAAAGTGACCTGTTTCGTTGCACTTGAAACATAGCGCCTTAGCTCGCGACTCTAACTCTTCTAAATGATTTCTGACCTCCTTTCTGTTCTTTTCCGGCTCTTTCAGCTTGCCTTCAGCACGCGCCGAATTTTGATTAGTTTCCTCTCGCTCTTTTGTTGCGCTTTGCGGTCCTCGAGTGTAAGCTTGGGGCCGTGGTGCAGGCCTTTGATAGTGATGTGCGCTGTTGATCGGGGTCCTGAAGCCTCGACTGGCCACGTACTCGTCGGCAAGCTGTGCTGCACTCCTAACAGACACACCTTCCTGCCTATCCTTGACCCACAGGCGCACGTTATCCGGCAGGGTGTCATAAAACTGCTCCAAACAAATTAGATCCCTCAGTTTACTTAAGTTATCCGCACCTGCTCCTTTCACCCACTCTGAAAAATTATCACTCAGGCTACACGCAAACTCAACAAAGCTTTCACCAGGCTTCTTTCTTTCCCGTCTAAATCTCCTCCGAAATTCCTCTGTGGAGAGCCTGTATTTTGCGAGTAATGTCGACTTCACTGAACTGTATACGCCTGCCTCGGCTGCGCTCAGTCTGGCCACGACCTGCGAGGCCTCACCCGGTAACAACGCAAGCAACCGCTCTGGCCAGGCGTCCTGGTGAAATGAATGTTTCTCACAGATCCGTTCAAAATTAATCAGGTAGAGACCAATGTCCTCGCCTGTTTTGTACGGCTGAAGCAAACTCGTCATCTTCAGGTTCTCAGTATGCGGCGGCGCCGCATCTGCACTGCGTGCTAATCTCGCCTGCTCTAGCTTTATTCTCTCGAGCTCAATTTCGGCCTGTCTTTGTTCTCTCCTTTCCTGCCTTTCCTTCTCTTCCGCTCTTTCCCTCTTTTCTTCCTCCCTTTGTTTCTTCTCCTCACATATCTTTTCCCAGGCCTCGCTGAGCTCGTCCTCCTCGAAACCCCCTTCGATTATCGCACTGCGAATTTCGGGCTTCCTTAACCTGCTATTGATATCCAAGCTGAGCTCTACTGCTAACAGCAACAGCTCTTCTTTCTTTAACACTCCGATATCCATATCTTCACAAGAGCCAACCAATACTTCTGCAATATTCACCGCACACTTGTGGCGGCCCTTCAGAGCCAATTGCCCGATAGAAACCCTGTTCTTATCGTCCGGCAAAACGTGATCGCTCAAGCACTCACCCAACCTCGAGCTGCCGAAGGCCGTGTCTCCCGGAGCCACGTTCCCAGGTCCGCCGATCCCAGATCGTCGGGTCTGCCTTCTGCTGCTCGTCCTTAGTTTCCGGTAGTCGTTACTGCGACGGTTGTGCCTCCCGGAGCCACGAAGTCTCGCTCTGCCGATCCCGGATCCGCAGAAGTCGATCTTCCGTCCGCAGCTACTTCCAACCTCGAGCTGGCGAAGGACGTGTCTCCCAGAGCCACGTTCACAGGACCGCCGATCCCAGATCGTCTGGTCTGCCTTCTGCTGCTCGTCCTTAGTTTCCTGGAGTCGTCCAAAACTTCATGCCGTTACTGCGACGGTTGTGCCTCCCGGAGCCACGAGGTCTCGTTCTGCTGATCCCGGATCCACAGAAGTCGATCTTCCGTCCGCAGTTTTCTGCATGCCTTTTCTTGATTCCACCGCTGCCATCCAGTTTGTAGCGTCGTCGGGGTAGATTGGGTGGGATGACCAAGATCAGGCAGGTCATGAAAGCAGGACGTCCATTTAGGAAACTTGAAAAAAAGGATTTATTTGCATTCAAAGAAAAGTTAACTGGTCATCGTTGTTCCCCCTTCTTCGCCCGCCGTCTCCTCCGTCCTTTTTATCCCTCTCGTTGCCGCCCCTCTCCCTCTATCTCGGTCCATCAGTCCACTTCACGAAAGGCAGGGGCGGCCCGCAGTCAGAGGGGGGGATCAAGGGGGTGAATCGTCCACCCGGAACCCGACTTCCCCTCAGCTCTATGCTCAGTTGTTCCGGGTGGACCCATCCCTCCAAGAAGCAGCGACGAATCTTTCGTTCCCCGAAACCGCCGCCGCATTCCGCAGGGCCCAGCCGTGGCGCCAGCGCACCGTCCCGCGACACAATGGTCAGCCTCAACAGTCGCTGCGTTCGCGGAACTGAGTGGCGGCGACATCGCGCTCGCCTCGAAGACGTCACTGGCAGCGGGACGCAACACTGGCCATATATTTCAAGTACATTTTCTTCCAAGCTGCACACAACATTATGGGAGTTAGGCGTTAACTTCAAGCGTTTTTCTACTCCCGGAAAGCAGAAAACGGGTTTTTCTTATTCTGGTACAACTTAATAAAGCAAGTTTTCTGCTTCAGCGTTAGAGAGTGATAATTGAAGTAACCGGATGTTTCTTGGGAAGCAACATGTGCTGTTGATATATCTGTGTTGACACCGATCGAAGAGGTCTATACTACAGTATCTGTGCTTAGCAGCACAAGAACTATTCGGTTCCAAGTGGCTGAACACCAGCCTGTGTTTATCTCTCTCTCCTGCGGTGGGTCTGTACAACAAATAAAGGAATAAATAAATGAGTGATACAGCTTGCTTTTTTGAGGGTCCAAGGATGCCCGCGAAAATATGCCTGCAAAGAAACGTAGTTTTTAAAGCATATAAAGCATATTTTGAATAAAGGTACTATGTCTGTCATGCTCCAATTGTTTTCGCACACGAAGACTATGAATTGAGGAAAAACACTGAACCTTGCTTCACATACAGAGTTCTCTTTTATTGGAAAAGGATGTGGGTTACAGGCGGACCTCGCCTTGCAAGATGTGCAGGATATTTCTCCGCCCGGTTTCTCATCATCATTTTTAATAAATGAAACGTGGGCAGGAGCCAAGGAGCTGCGCGGTGCTACAATTCATATTCCGGTGCCCGTGAGCTGTCCCGCGTACGGGGCTCTACTAGGCCCCCACCCCTCAACGTCCTAATAACAGTGTCCCTAATCAACATTCCCATGTGAGGTCTGTAGTGTATAGAAACTTCAAGAGCAGTCATGACCATAAGGTGGCAAGAATTGTGGAGCTCACTCATACTCCCTCATGAAATACTGCCACGCACGTTTTTTATTAGTTGTTTCATTCGGTTTTCGCTCACAAAGCTCGCCAGGAACGCTCAGCGCAAACTGCTCCTCGTTGTTCGAAAAGGTTCGCGACTATTATAGATCGCACAGTTAAGATTGCCCGCTAGATGTGAACACTCGAGATTATTCCAGGGCTTGCGCGACGACCAGCGATAAGACTGGAATAATTTGACTGTATATGGATAAATTCCGACGCGCTTCGCCGCTTGACAGTTGATCGACGGTGACGCTAAGTTTACCGCGATCAGTGCCGTGCTGCAATCTGACTTTTCGTTTGCGGACCACAAGTCAGGCCAAATAAACCGTTTCATCTGGATATCCGGTCTGCTCTCTTCGTCCACGTCACAACCCCGTGACAATATATATTTCCCTTAAGGCTCATACAGTCAAGTTTTTCTCAACTGGACACGCTCTGACTGAGACTCGCTAAATTTTTTCTCTACCAGATTCAGTGGGGCTCGGAAGCTCTCTAAAATGCTACTTACTCGGACTCGCCGAGATTGCAAACTGATGGCTGCATCTGTTTTTAAATGAGACTGAGTGAGCTAAATATTGAGAACATTACCATGTAATTCAATTTCCATTTTGTCAATTGCTCCAGAGCTGTAGCTGGTTTCATTAGCTACATGGCAGGCGCAGCTACTGGTCGTATTAATGACGTAACGAAGGCGCTTTCCGAGAAGCCTCCTAGTTGTATCGAAGAGACCATCGAAGTAATCACTGAATCAGCCTCTAAGCGTTATGCCTTCGCACCTAAAATATAGCTTCAGGTTGGCAAGATTGAAGGCTCAAACTTCAATATTGAGGTCGAGGTCGGTGAAATGCGCGGATTGGTTGAATTCGTGAGTGGGGCCTTTCAGGAGTTTAAGAAAGATGTTGAGAATGCTAAAAAAAAAAAACTAACATAGCTAAGTGAAGACTTTTTTTCAAAACAAAGGGATCACGAAAAAAAAAAAATTGCCCGCAGCTTCCCTCGGGGGAACACTGAGGAGGATGCGGAGCATATAATTGGTTAACGGGGTGTTAAAGTGCGACTTACTTGGGTCGATGGCTAAATTGGTTAACGTGGTTGTGAAATGGGGTGTTAAATTGCGACTTACTTGGGTCGATGGCTAAATTGGTTAACGTGGTTGTAGGAGGGGGTGTTAAATGAGTGAACACGTACACACGTATGCGAAAGGGCGGCGCTGGTCGAAGGGACGTCGATCATTGTGTTTGTGGATTCGTTGGAATTCATTTCACCGCGACCTTGGACGTCGACGCGCCGTACAAACCAACCGACGAGCGGCAACTGAGCGAGCGAGCGCCGACCTTGAGTATATATACAGCGCGACGGCGCATGCACTGTCAGCTGTCGAATGTTCGAGAAGGGGGAGAAGCGCAACGGCGCATGCGCGCGCGTCAGCTGCCGATGTTCTCGAAGCGCGACGGCGCATGCGCGCGCGTCAGCTGCCAATGTTCTCGAAGCGTGACGGCGCATGCGCGCTACATTATACAGCTAGCGAATGTTCGTGAAGAGGAGAAGCGCACGCGGTGTGTAGAGGAGGAAGGGTGCACAGATGGTGGAGGAGTGAAGCGCGCGCGGTGTGTAGAGGAGGAAGGGATGCACAGATGGTGGAAGAAGGAGGAGGAAGCTTGCGGACGGCGCCGCACTACAAGCCTCGAGTATTAGATGCTCCGCATCTAAAAAAACACACCAAAAGATGGCTGGACAACTGGCTGCCGCCAAAAAGGAGATGATTGAAGAACAGAAGGAAGATGAACGTGGAAATCGTAGGGCTTCCACGTACTGCATATCTAAAGGCGGCAGTTGGCACAATGGTCACTTGTTTGAGAGTCGAGCTCTCCGATGGAGACATTGATGTATAGTGCATCATACCCCATCTATAGATAAAAGAAACCGAATTTCGTGATATTTGCAACCAGGACATCCCGCGACAAATTTATGATAGTTCCGAAAGCACAGCACATTCACAGCGAAAGCTAGAAGAGCGGCCTTTCAGAGCCTTTTCTTAGCACTCATTGGGTAACTGCTGCAAGCACACTTCCTTGATGCTCACTATGGCAGTAATAATAAAAAATTCAAAGTAGTAGGCCAGCAACTGAACGACTGAAGACATTCAGTCTGAAGGTGACCTCACCAAAATTTCATAGTTGCCCACGTTCAGTAAATATCTGTCTATCATCAATAGCCTGACTACGTCCAATGCAGGACAAATGCCTCTCCCATGCATGTTCCACCAGTCAAGTCTAGTGCTTGCAGCTGCCCCTTTATATTGTTGCGACCGGGGCTTGCAGGCACCGGAGGTTCGGGATGAAGTTGTCGAGGCAGGAAGAAGAGAGACTTGACGAGAGTTTATTTACATTATATACAAGGTGAGCTCTCGTACATGACGAGCTCTTTCTTACATGGCGAGCTTTCGAATCGGGCGTTCCTCTACATGGCGCTCCTTCGAAAGAGCCGGTTGGCTCATTATAACGGGTATGTGCTCCCCAGATCCCTAGATCAGGGAACACGTGCATATGGTACTGTACAATCACATATCACACACGACTGGTGAGGGGGACGAGCATGCACGGCCCACGTGAACGTCCAACATTAAGGCGTGACTCTGCGGTCTAAGGTGGCGCCAGTGGGGCTCTTCCTCGTCGTGTGTGTGCCGCTGGTCGAGGAGTCCTAAGCTCATGACAGCATACTTCAAAGGGTCCGCCGAATCGCTCGATTTGCGGCGGTCGCCGTGGTCTCTTCCAAGGAAGATGCTGTATTTATGGTCCACTCTCGATGGTGTCATGGCGACACGGCGTCTCACCCTCCAGCTAGGAGGGACAATACCTGGCGGTCATAGGCAGCCGGCCGGTCAGCTACTTGTTTGCGGATCCAAAGAGCGCCGCTCCCTTGTCAGCTCTGGCGCCAGTCACAGCAATATGCGCAAACTCCCTAATCTCATCTTCCCGCCAAACTTTTTTGTCTCCCCGTCAACCACATGCCTTCTCTGGGAATCCAGTCTGAGATCCTTAATGACCAGCGCTTATATTGCCTTCGCAATACG